TTCCATCCCTCTGCCTCAGATTCCAGTCTCTTCGTTCGTCACTCCTCCGAGCCCTTCTACATCCTCGTCTACGTCGACGACTTCATTCTAGCCGCCAGAGATCCAGCCGACATGGCAGCTGTCCAGTCTGCTCTCAGCTCCGCCCTTCTCATGAAGGATCTTGGTGACCTCAAGAACTACCTGGGGATGGAGATCACTCGTGACCGCCAGGCTTGCACGATCACCCTCTCCCAGGAGTCCTACATCGACAACCTTCTGAAGCGGTTCGACATGGACTCCAGTAACTCTGTCTCCACTCCACTCCCACTACAGCATCAGCTCACGGCCCCTCCAGTTCCTTCTCCTGACGCCTGCAAGGACCCGTACCCTGAGCTAGTCGGCTCACTCATGTATGCTTTGATGTGCACTTGACCAGACTTGGCTTACCCGGTTAGTGTCCTCTCTCGGTACGTCTCCCCCAGACGCTACACTGCCTCGCATTGGTCTACAGCCAAGAGGGTCCTCCACTATCTACAAGCCACCAAGTCTCACATCCTCACTCTTGGTGGTACCTCTCCAGTCAAGCTCGAGGGATACACAGACTCCTCATGGGCCGATGACCAGACTGACAGACGCTCCTCCCAAGGGTACTGCTTCACCCTTGGTAGCGGAGTCATCAGCTGGCGCTCCACTCGGTCCTCTGCAGTCTCCGTGTCGTCCTGCGAGGCCGAGCTCTACGCGGGCACAATGGCTGCTCAAGAGGCACGCTGGCTCTCCTTTCTCCTCGCTGAGTTAGGCTACCCCCAGCAGTCGCCCACCCTGTGGTGTGACAACCAGAGTGCCATTCATCTCACCAAGGATCCTGTGTTCCACTCTCGCACCAAGCACATCGAACTTCGTCATTTCTTCATCCGAGATCTTGTTCAGAGTGACCAGCTGACGGTACGGTACATCGCCTCAGATTGCAACCTCGCCGACCTCTTTACCAAGGCTCTCGGCAAGGCTGACCACCATCGCCTTCTCCGTTCCATGGGGCTATGTGCTCCTTGACCGGGTTTGCAGTCTATGGGGGTGTGTTAGAAATAGACTGCAAATACCACTTTTGTATTTGTATTTTTATATCCTAGTTTAGGTTGTGAATGTTCTAGTGGGTTGGGGTGTACTCACAAATCCCAACCTCACCCAATTGTGATCCCCACAATCTCCAATTACCCAATTGGAGATTCCAGAGATCCCAATGGGGATTCCCTCCGATTCCCCCTTCATCCATTCTCTCTCACCTTGCCATGCTCTTATAGAGCCTTGGGCTCCTTACCTAATCAATCATTTCAACTCTATTTCCTACACGAAGGTGGTCGACAATGAGAGGCGCGACTGCAGATTGGAGCACGTCGAAATTCCGACGACTCGAAACGAATGTCGCGACGATGAAGTGCGCGTAGCACGGGCACGTTCAGATTAGGACCTTGATCTGCGTGTGCGGATAGGTCGCTCTGATACCATGTAAGAAATAGAGTTGAAATGATTAATTGGGTAAGGATCCCAAGGCTCTATAAGTACATGGCAAGGTGAGAGAGAATGGATGAAGGGGGAATTGGAGGGAATCCCCATTGGGATCTCCGGAATCTCCAATTGGGTAATTGGAGATTGTGGGGATCGCAATTGGGTGAGGTTGGGATTTCTGAGTACACCCCAACCCACTAGAACATTCACAACCAAAACTAGGATATAAAAGTATAAATACAAAAGTGGTATTTGCAGTCTATTTCTAACAAACGGGAGCCAGTAGTGCTTAATGGACAGACAGACGCGTCGTGGGCTGATGACTTGGAGATGCCCAAGTCTTCTCAGGGCTACTGTTTTAGCCTTGATGCTGGTGTAGTGCCATGGAGGTCTACTAGGTCCTCGTCTGTAGCTCAGTCCTGCTGTGAGGCGGAGATCTACGCTGGGGCCATGGCCGCTCAGGAGCTCAGCTCGCTGACGTTCTTGCTCACAAACTTGGGTGAGCCACCTAGGTCTGCCCCGGTCCTGTTCGCTGACAACGGAGGCATGATCCTGCTGTGTCAGGAGGCTCGACTAGAGGGCAGGGCGAAGCAGATCCAGCTGCGGTACTTCCTGCTGCGTGAGTTGCAGTAGTGTGGTCAGACTCGTGTGGTACAGTTGGCCTCAGAGGCCAACACTGCTGATATCTCACCAAGGCACTTGCGCCTCATGACCATCAGCGGTTCTATACTCAGCTTGGTCTATCCTCAGTAGCAGCACCACTCCTTGTTTCCTGAGTCATACTATACATGCATATACTTGTTCTATACCTGCTTGCCATACTACACTTGCTGACTAGCCTTATGGCCTCTTGTCTCAGTGGTCAGACTAGTTGCGCTGCCCTTAATTTCCTTGTTACCCTCACCAGAGGTCAGACTAGTAGTGCTGCCCTAGTGTACATTTTTTCTTTGTTACGAACTGCCACTGTCTAGGATAGGGGGTGTGTCAACAAATAAAATTATTGTTCAGCTAGGTTATGTTTGTACGTAGCCTAGTAGGTCAGATCTTAGAGGGAATTGCCCTACTACCGCTCAACAATTTTTCCTTAGTCATTCAATTCTCTCGATGACCTAACAGCTCTCAGCTCAGCTTTCTGGTGAGCATGTCGAGCCCAATGGTCCATACGCACAGCTCGTGGGGTCCATCATGTACCAGATAGCGTGCACACGTCCAGATCAAGCATACCCTCTTAGTATCCTTTCTTGCTTTGTTACGATTGGCAAACACCGACGAGCGCACTGGTCGGATGCCAAGAGGGTGTGTGTTGTGGTATCTAGCGAGTGCATCAAGACTGGGGCTTGTGCTGGGAGGACAGTAGCCAGTGGTCCTCACTGGATACACAGACGCGTCGTGGGCTAACGACTTGGAGACACTCAGGACGTCACAGGGCTACTGCTTTAATCTTGGTGGGGGTGCCATGTCGTGGCGGTCCACAAGGTTGTCATCTGTAGCTCAGTCCAGTTTATGCTTATGTTATGGCCGCTCAGGGGCTCCGCTGGCTGACGTTTTTGCTTACTGGCTTAGGTGAACGGCCTATGACTGCCTTGGTCCTGTTTGCTGATAACAGGGCCATAATCCTCTTGTGTCAGGAGGCTCGATTTGAGGGCAAGGCCAAGCACATCCAGCTGTGGTGCTTCCTGGTGTGTGAGTTGCAGCAGCGTGGTCAGGCTCGGGTGGTACAGTTGGCCTCAGAAGACATTGCTATCTTCACCAACGCCCTAGGGCCTTGTGACCATCAGCGGTTCTGTACACAGCTTGGTGTAGTCCCAGTTGCCTCTCCCTTGCTTGTATCATGGTATGTGTTATACCGTATTCCCCCAGAAAAAACACCCGCCGGAATTAATCACCCATGGGTGGTTTGGGCGGACCTGTGTACTTTATTAAACAGGTGTAAGAAATAGAGTTGAAATGATTGATTAGGTAAGGAGCCCAAGGCTCTTGGGAGGAGCGTCTGTCAGTCTGGTGACTCCGCTACCAAGAGTGAAGCAGTACCCTTGGGAGGAGCGTTTGTCAGTCTGGTCATCGGCCCATGAGGAGTCTGTGTATCCCTCGAGCTTGACTGAAGAGGTACCACCAAGAGTGAGGATGTGAGACTTGGTGGCTTGTAGATAGCGGAGGACCCTCTTGGCTGCAGACCAATGCGAGGCAGTGTAGCGTCTGGGGGAGACGTACCGAGAGAGGACACTAACCGGGTAAGCCAAGTCTGGTCGAGTGCACATCACGGCATATATGAGTGAACCGACTAGCTCAGGGTACGGGTCCTTGCAGGCGTCAGGAGAAGGAACTGGAGGGGCCGTGAGCTGATGCTGTAGTGGGAGTGGAGTGGAGACAGAGTTACTGGAGTCCATGTCGAACCGCTTGAGAAGGTTGTCGATGTAGGACTCCTGGGAGAGGGTGATCGTGCAAGCCTGGCGGTCACGAATGATCTCCATCCCCAGGTAGTTCTTGAGGTCACCAAGATCCTTCATGAGAAGGGCGGAGCTGAGAGCATGTTGGTTAGAGAAAGCTATACGCAGATGATTCAATGGCTCCTTGGAAATTTCTGCAGCACTTCGTTATGACGCCCAGAAAACCCGCGACCTTCGAAAAGCTATATCCAAAACTCCAATCGGTGAAACGATCTGAAAATCGGATAAGTTATAGCTTGCAGCGTCAGCTTTCCACTGAAAGTTGAATCACTCGATTCCGTAGCTTAACGAGTGAGCTATGGCGTTTGGCGCACTGGGGGGTAATCTGCCCTAGGAGAAGTTGACAGTCCTCAGAGTCACTATAATTGAAGCTTACAAGTTCAAAGGCATGATAGAAAAGGAATTGAAGCACAGTTGGAAGGTGGGGATGGAAGGGAAGGATGAAAGGGAAGGACCCTGGAGGCCCAAGGTCAAGAACATGACAAGAGTCAAGGTCTTGACTCCCCATCCTCAGGTTCAACCAGCCTGGCAAGACAAAATTCACACTGTACCAGGTTGGCCTCCAACCCCCAAATGCTGCAGCTGCAAGGTGAGGACAAAAGTCCCACACATTCTGGTCCCTCCTCGTTATAGGGCTCTCCAACTTTGGTGTAGCAGCTGCCAAGGACTTCCAATAAGTTGTAACAAATCCATCAAACACTTCTTCGTAACTTCTTCATATGTGCTCCGATTCCAACAATTCTTGGCTCGTTGAAATGTGCTCGATGTCATGCACAATCCAAGCACATCTGCACAAGCACAAGATGAATATGCAAAGACATGCAAACCCAACAAACCACACAAACAACGTAGCACACAAACACATGCAACAAAATGATGCGAACAGACGACAGGATGACGTGCAAACGAATATGCACCAACACACTCCCCCTCAAACTGTCGGCTTGTTTCGCCGTCTCTAGTTCAAGGACATTCCCGCCATCCTCGCACAGCGCCAGTGTGGCTCTTCAGCTAGCCGCTTGGTAAGGAAGTCGGCTGGCTGTTGCTGAGTTTTCACGTAGATCGGATCCAGTGTTCCAGGCTTCACCTCCTTCCGCAGCCAATGCCACTTGATCCTCATGTGCTTGTTCAATCCATGAAGAACTGCATTGCGTGCCATGGCAATGGCTCCCTTGCTGTCACTGAACAGAGGTGTCGCACAAGTCTGTTCATGGCCGATCTCCTTCAAGAGCCTCCTTAGCCAGATGATTTCTTTTGCCGCATGAAACATCGCCATGTACTCAGATTCCACTGAAGATAGTGCCGTCTCAGACTGCTTCTTGGACCTCCAACTTACAGGCCCACCTCCCATCATGCAGATGTATCCACCTACTGATGATGAATCCTCATGCTCAGAAGCCCATGTGGCATCAGCAAAACAGGAAAGGAACACCTTTCCTTCTCCGAGCTGCTCCCTCTTCTCTTTGAGGACTTCAACTCCTTTTTGCCTGAGTTGATCAGAGGCTGAATACTGTACTCCCACTGTAGGGTATGACTTGAGGTACTGCACCACTCTCTCCGCTGCACCATACTGCTCTTCTGTTGGATTTTGCACTACTCGGGCCAGCTGTCCCACAGCAAAGCTGATGTCAGGCCGAGTATGCACAACAGCGTAGAGTAGGCTCCCGACCATGGATTGGAATTGCCTCTGGTCTTCACACTCAACTCCTTCTCCTTCAGCTGCCTTTATGAGTTTGAACTCGGAAGGCAAAGGTGTGACCACTGTCTGTTCTTCCTGCAGAGAGTACTTCTCAGCCAAGGTGTGGATGTACTGTCCCTGATGCAGTTTGAGCCAGCCACGTTCAGTATCCCGCTCAATGTGCATTCCCAGGTAGTACCTTGCCTCTCCAAGTGACTTGCACTTGAACTGCTCTGTGAGCTTCCGCTGCACCCCATCGATCTCCTTGTCACTGCTGCTGAAGAGCAGGATGTCATCCACGTACACCAGCAGAAGCACAAGGGACTCCCCCTCGCCCATCAGGAATAGGCTCTCGTCACATGCACTCGCACGGAATCCAATCCCTTCCAGTGCACTGGCCAGCTTGTTGTACCAGCATCTCAGGGCCTTCTTCAAGCCATAGATGGCCTTGTTAAGTTTGCAGACACGACCGGTTCCATCCTCATAGCCAGGTGGTTGAACCATGTACACCTCCTCTTCCACAATGCCGTACAGAAAAGCGGTTACGATGTCCATCTGCTTCACCTTCCATTTGCGCACAGCAGCTACCGCCAGCAGCACACGTAGCATTGGAGACTTAGCAGTTGGGGCAAACACTTCTTTGTAATCTTCCTTCTCTTTCTGTTGAAACCCCTTTGCCACCAGCCTGCTCTTGTAAACTGATGGCTCTCCTTTCTCATCCGTCTTGATTTTTGCCAGCCACTTGCACTGTATTGCCTTCTTCCCATTTGGCAAGTACACCAGGTCCCATGTGTGATTCTCCATCTGGCTGTTGTACTCTGCATCTCTTGAAACGAGCCACTTCCCCTGTTGAGGCCCGGCTAGCGCATGATCCATGCTCGGAGGTTGTATTGGTGCATAAAAGCAGTATGCAGGCTCCTCGTCATCTGACTCTTGGTCATCACCCAAGAACAGCACTGCATCTTCGCCTTGAGCCTGTTCCTGCTGCTCTGTTGTGGCTCCTCCACTTGTAGAGCTCAGCAGCTTTCTTGTTGCCATTCTGGTACGTGCAGGGTAGATGGTTGGATTTACCCATTCTTTCACCTTCACCCAATCCTTTGTCCCCCCACCAATCTGTTTCCTTCGCTTTGGCAGACTTGGTGTTTTGGAAGCCTCTTGCTGCTGCTGCTCCGGATCCTTGACTTCAGCATCAGCTGCAATATCCTCATTGCTTCCTTCATCAGTACCGCTTGCCGTTGGTGCAGTGACTTCGCTGTCCTCAGGTTCGGACACATCGAAGTGCATAGTGATCTCTTCCAGCTGCTGGGTGACCCTTGCCTCTGGCTGCTTCTCCCACTTGCCATACATGATGTTCTCCACAAATTTGACATCCCGACTGTCAAACAGCACATTCTTTGAGGGCTCCCAGAGTAGCCACCCCTTGCTCTCTGCCGCAAGCCCAAGGTGCACACACCAAAGTGCAGATGCTCCAAGCTTTGTCCTGTACGGTTTAGGGACATGTGCCACTGCCATGCATCCGAATACTCGAAGCATGTCCACTGGAGGCTTCTTTCCAAGCCACCTCTCCAGCGGCACCCACATATCATCAGCCACCTTTGTGAGTACGCGGTTCCTTGCCACTGTAGCATGCCTCACCGCATGAGGCCACATGGAGTTCCCCAGCCCTGATTCAATCAGCAGCGCTCGCGCAGTTTCCAGGATGGTCCTATTAGCCCTCTCAGCAACGCCATTTGACTGAGGGGTATAGGACGTCGTTAGCTGATGCTCAATGCCTTGTTTCTTGAGCCACGCAGTCAGATCTCCTCCTAGAAACTCTCCACCTCGGTCGGTTCTGATGCTCTTGCATGGGTGCCCAGATTGTCGCTCGACGAACGGCAACCAGTCATCTTGGATTGTTGAGGCAGCATGATCCTTCTGCTTCAACGGGTATGCCCACATTAGCCGACTCCAGTCATCAACTATTGTTAGGAAGTATTTTTCCCCCTTTCTTCCTTGAACTGGAAAAGGTCCTACCAGGTCCATGTGCACCAGTTCCAGTGCTGCCTTGCTTTTCCCAACTACGCCGTGGAAGGGGAACTGTGTGAACTTGCTCAGCAGACATGTCTCGCATTTGGTATCATTTGGTTGCCCAGAAAGCTTCAGCCCCTTTACTGCTTCTTCCTTATGCAGTTGCCGCAGCAATGGCATAGCCACATGCCCTAGACGCCTGTGTGCGGTTTCCCAATCAGTCTCCCCCGATCTTGCAGAAACCGTCACTCCTGCAGCACTAACTGCATTGCACTCCCCCTGGACTCCAGATCCCGCCTTTACTGCTCCCAACTCCTTCTTTGTTGATTCCCATATCAGCGCAGGGATGTGCCACATGGATCTGAAGACATCTCTGCTTTCGTGTAAATCCCATAACACACGATCTCCTCGCAGCCCCTTGAATGTTTTGGATCCATTGGTGGTGGTGCTGACTCCGGCCTGGCCTAGCTTGCGCAGCGATATCAGATTGGCCTTCAGCCCCGGTACGAGTAACACATCCTTCAGCACAACCAGTCCACCATCAGGTGCTCTGAATGCAGCTCGACCAACTCCAGCGACCTTCACTGCATGTCCGGATGCTGAGCGCACTTCGGAGATTGGAGGCGCTTGCACAGCATCCAGCAAATCCTTGCGTGGTGTCATTGTCCATGCAGCACCAGAGTCCATGACCCACATGTCAAGCGGGTGCAATTCTTCTCCAGCCCTTGCAACAGCTGTGCCACTGTCATCTTTGTCACACACATGGTAGAACTGTCCAGCATTCCTCTCCTCATTTCCCATTCCTCTGTCGTCCTTGGAGGTTTCTTCAGCAGGATCAGCTACCATGTTGGCACCTCCATGTGGTTGCTTTCCTCCATTCCCCTTTTGCGATTGGTTCCAAGGGGTCCACCAGTCGGGCTTGGTAGAGCAGCGAAACCATGGATGCCCTTCTTCCTTGCAATACCAGCACTCTCCCCTCAAGCGTGGTTCACTGTTGTCGTTGTTGGAGTGACCACCTCTTCCTCTTGCACCAGTGCCACCACGCCCCCGCTGGTTCCAAGTCCCGCGACCACCTTGGTTGTAGTAAGAGCGACCGCGATTGCCACGCCCTCGATCTCTCCATGTCCCTTGCATGGCATAGCCGCTGGTGCTGTCATCACCTCCGCGCAGTGTATAGCGACGAAAATCTTCTTCCAGAATCTTGGTGCGAATCCACTCCAATGACCATTGACTTTGGTTTTGTGGCAAGCTGAGTCCGCTTATAAATTGCAGCCAAGACTCGGGCAGCAGGCTGAGCATCTTGAGACACTTAGTCTGCTCGGGGTACGTGATGCCAGCAATCGCCAATTTCGCGTAGAGTTCCCTCATCTTGTCCAGTACAGGCTGCATAGGTTCATTCTCGCTCAACCGCAGCATGGACAGATCCCGATCCAGCATGAGAGAAGCGGCAACCGATGTCGGAGCGTGCAGGTCCTTGAGCACTGCCCATGCCTTGGGCCCACAATCAGTTTCCGGTAGCAGATGCATGATGTGATGCCTCTGGTTCAGCTCCAAGCTTTGTGACAGTAGATAATACCCAGCAGATGAACGTTCATCCCAGTCCGCTTGCTCTGCCATTTCCTTTGGCCTGGGCTCCGTTCCAATCATGAGCTTCAAGAGGCCAATTTGTCGAAAGTAGAGCTGCATCTTCCATGCCCAATCATCATAGCCATCTCCAGAGAACTTCTCAATGGTGAAGTTCTTCAGCACCTCCTTAAGCAGTGACCCCTGGCTTGTACGCGCTCCCCTTTGCGCTGCAATGCCAGAATCTTGGGTTGAGCTGCCTCCTTGGACTGAAGTATCACCTCCACCAGAGTCCTCCTTAGAGAAGGCTATAAGCAGATGATTCAATGGCTCCTTGGAAATTTCTGCAGCACTTCGTTATGACGCCCAGAAAACCCGCGACCTTCGAAAAGCTATATCCAAAACTCCAATCGGTGAAACGATCTGAAAATCGGATAAGTTATAGCTTGCACCATCAGCTTTTCACTGAAAGTTGAATCACTCGATTCCGTAGCTTAACGAGTGAGCTATGGCGTTTGGCGCACTGGGGGGTAATCTGCCCTAGGAGAAGTTGACAGTCCTCAGTGTCACTATCATTGAAGCTTACAAGTTCAAAGGCATGATAGAAAAGGAATTGAAGCACAGTTGGAAGGTGGGGATGGAAGGGAAGGATGAAAGGGAAGGACCCTGGAGGCCCAGGGTCAAGAACATGACAAGAGTCAAGGTCTTGACTCCCCATCCTCAGGTTCAACCAGCCTGGCAAGACAAAAATCACACTGTACCAGGTTGGCCTCCAACCCCCAAATGCTGCAGCTGCAAGGTGAGGACAAAAGTCCCACACATTATGGTCCCTCCTCGTTATAGGGCTCTCCAACTTTGGTGTAGCAACTGCCAAGGACTTCCAATAAGTTGTAACAAATCCATCAAACACTTCTTCGTAACTTCTTCATATGTGCTCCGATTCCAACAATTCTTGGCTCGTTGAAATGTGCTCGATGTCATGCACAATCCAAGCACATCTGCACAAGCACAAGATGAATATGCAAAGACATGCAAACCCAACAAACCACACAAACAACGTAGCACACAAACACATGCAACAAAATGATGCGAACAGACGACAGGATGACGTGCAAACGAATATGCACCAACAGAGCAGACTGGACAGCTGCCATGTCGGCTGGATCTCTGGCGGCTAGAATGAAGTCGTCGACGTAGACGAGGATGTAGAAGGGCTCGGAGGAGTGACGAACGAAGAGACTGGAATCTGAGGCAGAGGGATGGAAGTCAAGTGCGAGGAGGACTTCCTTCACCTTGTTGTGCCACTCATGAAGAGCCTGCTTGAGGCCATACACTGGGCGCTTCAGCTTCCACACTGTGTTGGCAGGGTAAGTGCCAGGAAACCCCGGTGGGCATTCCATGTGAACATCCTCCTTGAGCTGGCCTTGGAGAAAGGCGGAGGAGGCGTCCATGGACTTGATCTCGAAGTTGCCGCGAGCGGCTATATCAAGAAGAGCGCGCACAGTCGGGAGCTTGGCCGTGGGCGAGAATGTTTCGAAGAAGTCGAGATACTCCTTCTGGGTGAAACCCTTCGCTACGTATCGTGCCTTGAACAGTGGAGCTTCGCCTGGGAGTTGTTTGACTCGGAAGATCCATTTTCCGCCGACGATGTTGACACCGGAAGGGGGAACAACATCGTCAAAGCTGTTGTTGCGAATGAACGCCTCGTTCTCCACATCCACTGCTGCCTTCCACTCCTTCTTATAAGGCCCCGGGAGAGCTTCCTCTTTTGTGCGAGGAGTCGGAATGGTCGGGTTCTCGGTGAAGTTGAGGGAAGGGCAGTCAGTAATGTCCGGGAAGATGTGAGAGAGAAATTGGCTGACCGCGTGAAGGTCTAACAGCTCCTCATGCCTGTCCTCCAGAAGTGCACGGGGGGGAATACGGATGGAGGGGACATCACCCCCGGCAGGAGGAGGCGGGGTGACCGAACACCGGATGGAGAAGGCGGCTGGTCCCCAGGCGAGAGGCGGAGCCGGTCCCTTGGAACGAGTGCGACTAGAGACCGGAGACGAAGGCGGCTGCGGTGGGACCGGAGGGACTGGGCGCCTCCGATAGGAGACTGGTGAGCCGGGCTCGACGCGCGGGGAAGGCGGAGCAGGAGGAGGTGCCGCTGCGGAGGATACTGGGGAGGCCTGGTGAGACACGCCGGACGGAGAAGGCCCCGGAGAAGGGGCAGCGGCCGGAGGTGGGGCATCGAAGTCTGCCCAAACAAGCGTCCGGGGAGGTGGAGGAGGCTCGCCCGTGGTCGCAGAGTGGAATGGACGACATCACGGCTGCGAATCAGCTGTCTGGTGATTGGGTTGAGGAATAAGTAGTCTGGGGAGTCGGAGTTGTGCCCCAGGTACATGCAGGTCTGGGTTTTGGGACCAAGCTTGCCACCTTGCTTCCTATGCGTGTGGGGGCTTAGCAACACATACGCGGTACACCCCCAGACGCGTAGAGAGCGGGCGGAAGGCGTGACCCCAAGCCAGAGAGCGGTAGGTGTGGTGTCGGGCCGGTGGGGATGCGGATAAAGATTGTAGAGGAGAGCCGCATGGAAGAGGGCATATCCCCAGAGTGACCGTGGTGCGTTGGCGTGACTGAGGAGGCAGCGAGCGATCTGAACCAAGGTGTGGTTGCAGCTCTCTGCAATGCCATTCTGCTGCGGGCTTTCGGGGAGCGTAAAGGTTTGCCGAATCCCTTGGGCCGCACAGAAGTTATCGAGTTTGCCATTGCGAAATTCTCCCCCGCCATCAGAATGGAGGCACTTCACAGGAGTGCCGAACGTGACTTGAGCCTGGCGCACCCACGCCATGATGACATCAGGTGCCTCCGCCTTGGTATGCAGGAGGTGCACAGAAACATACCGCGAGTGGTCATCGACTAGTGTAAGAACGTACCGATGAGCGACTCGGGATGCGACTGGAGCTGGGCCCCAGACATCCATGTGCACTAGGTCCAGCGGAGCAGCTGCGACGGATGGGGAGGAAGGATGCGGCTGCTGCTTGAGCTTGCTTTTGGTGCAGTCCAGGCAGGTGGGTGCAGGTGAGTCTGTTGGTGGAGGAAGCGCCGACGGGAGGCCAAGAAGAAGTTTCTTGGAAGCGATGTCGGCAAGTGTACGGAAGTTGGGGTGACCCAAGCGATGGTGGTAGAGGATGGTTGGGTTGGCGAAGCTGCGACACGAACACGGAGTGGTGCTGGCAGCTTGCGCTTGGGAGAGGGCGGCGAGAGGTGCAGGTGAACGCAGCGTGTAGAGCTTGCTACTGTTGAGTGTGAACCGTGCTAGGAGCTTGTTGGACTTAGGGTCGAAGAGGTCACAGTGATCCGAGTCGTGGTGACGCCTGCCCGTTGGAGCTCGTGCTGGGCCACAAGATTGTGCCGTAGTGTGGGAACACACATGCCGGTGACACTGCCCGAAGGAAAAGCTGGGCACGGAACTGTGGAGGAGCCCTTGGCGTGTGTTGTGAAACTGGAGACTGCTCCTAGTAGACGGATTGGTGTCTCGTATGGCTTGAAGGAGTGTTCTTCCTTGAGAACCGTGTGAGTGGCCCCACTGTCGAGGGTGAACTCTATTGTGGCTGAGGTGCTTTGTGAGCCAGGATACTGCGAAATCATCTCATTAATCATGGCAGTGCCAGGGAACAACATGTTGAGGCGCACATCAGCAGGTGCAGCCACAACAGCCTGCACGGATTCCTGCGCTTCGACTTGATTGACTTGGCGAGGAGAACGATTGACCATCCAGCTTGGCGGCTTGGAGGCGGTCCCATTGACGGCATACCACTCGTCATCCTTCTTCTTAAAGCAGGAGGTAAGGCCGTGGTTGGTGCCGCCACACACCTGGCCAGCACGAGGGCCGCGCTTGATGACGTAGGGACACGGGGGGAAGCGGTTGCACTGGAATGGCACCGAAGCGGCATAGGCTTGAGGCACGGGAGCGCGGATTGCATTGGCCTTGGCTTGAGCGCTGTTGT